CCAGGGTTACTGACCTACTGGTGTTAATGACACCAGGGTTATTGATTGGCCAGTGATACTGACCCCGGGGACATTGACTTGCCGGTGATACTGACCCCGGTGTTAGTGACCTGATGGTGATATTGACCCCTGGGATACTGACCAACTGGTGATACTGACCCCGGGGTTACTGACCTGCCGGTGATAGTGACTCCGGTGTTACTGACCTGCCGGTGATACTGACCCCGGTTTTACTGACCTACCGATGATACTAACCACCTGGTTACTGACCTGCCAGTGACATTGACCCCTGGTGTTTACTGACCTGCTGGTGATGGTGACTATAAGAGTTGCTGTTTTATTTGCACTACTGATCTCTTGTTGTCATTTGGTATTTTTAACATATTTACTCTTGACACATAAGAACAATAATGCATGCGGCACAGCTGACACTTTGTCCCAGAGACTTTCGTTAATAACATGTAGTATATGCTTACTTCTTTTAAAGGTTAGATGTTTTATTTGTGTTCAACAACCCTTATCAGGAGGTGATATATTTTGATAAACAAACTAAGAGCGGATAATCCCTTTCGTGTATGATGGGTGTAAACATTGCTTAGATGGCAAGGAGTAAAGTGGGAAGTAAAGTGTCTGAGTTTATATATTCGCTCTATATATTCATATCACCTGAGTAAACTATATAATCCACCTTCTGCCCGACATGTCTTTCATTTCATTTCTTCTCACTTTTTTATTTACTTCTTTACAGACTATTTACTTCACATATTGTTCTTTAACATCCTTATCTGCCCATTCTAATTTGTTCCTTCCTCTTGCATGAAAAGGCCATATTCCACACCCCTGTTGCTTTTAATGTTGGTGGAAAATTTTTCCTCTTCATTCACTTCTCCATTAACATGTTGACGGTATAATATATCTCTCCATATATTCCTCAATTCTTTTACTACTTCTTTCCCTTTGTTGATTTTTTATTTCACCTCATCACTCACCATGTTATAAGGCTCACACATCCACTCCTAGACATCGGAAAAACTTCGAGTTCTCCATTCAGTCAACATAACTTACATGGAAAAGTCTCCCTGTGTTCCTAGTCTTCTAACTTTCACAACTTATGTTCACTTTCTTTATCAATTTTCTTAAAATTTAATTTACTAATATTTGTATCGTTTATTCCGAATAGCCAATAAGATAAGTGTTATCTCCACATGACACATTCACCACAATACACAACACATAACACATTCACCACAATATGCAACACATGGCATCTATGCACCATATTATACATTACATGACACACTCACCACAATACTCAACACATGACACATATTCACCACAATACACAACATACAGCACATTCACCACAATACATAACACATTCACCACAAAACACAACACAATACATTCACCAGAATATTCAACATATGACACCTATGCACCACAATACACATCACATGACACATATCCAACACAATAAACAACACATCACACCTATGCACCACAATACACACCATATGATACATATTCACCACAATATGCAACACATAACACATTCACCACAATATACCAGAAGTAGGTACAAGGCACCTACCAAACAGGGAGGTACTACGGCCTGGCAAGATATTGGAAGCATAATGTGTTGTTTAATGGTAGACCCTGCTGACATATGAGATCACGAAAATTGTGACCATGTCCCAGGTTGCTGATCTGTCTTTCTGCTTCATTTGCACACAATTGCAAGGACTCAATTGTCTCTCTTACTATTGACAACACAACATATATAACCTTTCTCACTCTTGATCTCTTCTATTCTTTCTACTCTTTTATTCTCCTATGATATCAGTTGACAATAATATTAAATCGGGGCCTTCTCGGATGGGTACCACTGGTCGGGAAGGTTATGGACCCCAGGGCCGACCAGATCATCATCAAACTACTGGGGCCTCAACTGACGTCACCGCGGGTTGCTGGAGGATCGGCTTTTTTCACACTTCATTTTCTGACCAAAGCAGCTTCACCCAAACCTTTTTCAAGTCTCCAACTACAACTTTTATGTCCCTTTCCGTTCTAAAGGAGGTGTATGCGCCTACTGCAACACACGTACACCTATGGCTAGACTCACGGATCTTGAATCTTCTCTTTATGATGTCATCTGGTTCAAAATATATATACCAACTATGACTATTTTTCTTTGTTTCCTATACTGGTCTCCCAACTCTACCAACTATATGAATTCTTTGACTATCTCACTTCTTGCCATAAGTCGTTGCTATCCACACACCCCAACACCGAGAACCTCTACATGGGGGATTTCAATGTACATCACAGAGAGTGGCTTGGCTCTGCAAAGGAAGACCCAGCTGGAGCTGAGGCACTCTCTTTTTCCTTACTTAATGATCTGTAACAAATAATTAATCACCATACACGTGTTCCTGATAGACAAGATCAACTTACTAACATTTTTGATCTTTGTTTTACCTCTAAACCCTCACGCTATTCATACTTAATTTCTGCCCCCGGAGGGTCTTCTGATCACAATCTTATTTATATTAAAACAAATTGGGCACGACCACCTTTCCCACCCTCCTCTAAACGCCAACTATGGCACTTTCGGAGGGCAAACTGGCAATCCTTGCAAGAATTCTTCTTTGACTTTCCTTGGGATGAATGTTGTTTTTCCACTGAGGACGCCTCGGTATGTGCTGACAGCATTGCTGAGGTTATACAAGGGTGGTATGAGTGCATTTATCCCATCTTCTGTCAAAACTTTCACTTTACAGTCATGGTTTGATCGCTCCTGTTCTCTTGCATGTAGGGAGAGAGATTGGGCGTATAAAGTTATGAATCTATCTCCATTTCCTATTACTCACTCCTCTTTCATTACTTCTAGGAATCGCTGTAAGGCTATTCTTCGTAGGCCAAAGCGGAATTTTATAAAAAGAAAGACCACTGTCCTGACTAACTCTTCTTCTAGTAAATCCTTCGGGTTCTTACCCAAACACATCTGTAATAACTTCTGCACTCCCTCTTTTCCTCCTCTCTGCAGACCTGATAACTCTACAGCCAACTCACTCCCTGATAAAGCCAATCTCTCTGGCTATTCTCCTCTAATTCCACCTTAGACGATTCCAACTCTATCCCTCCTACTCCTACTGAACCTATGCACCTATCCAGGTTAGATGTAAGGCGCATGGACTGGACGCAATACCCCCTCATGTTCTGGGGGAGTGTGCTGAAATTCTAGCCCCTATGCTTGCTCGCCTGTTTTACCTTTGCCTCAAAACCCAAACTTTTCCTTCTTCTTGGAAGCATGCCTCGGTTCAGCCCATCCCGAAGAAAGGTGACCATTCTAATCCCTCTAACTATCGCTCCATTGTCTTAACTACATCCCTCTCTAAGATTTTCGAAACTCTCTTAAACTCGAATTTTCTCCGTCACCTAGAACGCTATTCTCTTTTGTTGGTTCACCAGTATGACTTTCGCCAGGCGAGATCTACTGGTGATGTGCTCTCCTACTGCACCCATCTTTGATCATCCTCTCTTATGGATTAAGGGGAAACTTTTTTCGTGGCCTTCGACATCGGCAAAGCATTTGACAGGGTGTGGCACAAGTCTTTGATTCTAAACTTCCCTCTTATGGGTTCTCTTCCCAACTTTGTTTTCTAATGTCTAACTTCCTTGAGAACCGATGCATGGCAGTTGTTGTCTAGGGATCGACCTCTCGCTCTTTCTCTGCCAATCGTGGTGTCGCACAGGGTTCTGTTCTTTCAGTTACTCTCTTTCTTCTTTTTTATCAATGATTTACTTCACACTACGACTAATTCTACCCATTCATATGCTGATTATTCTACTCTTCACTCTTCTTCACAATTTCCCTTCCCCCTAATTCTCAAACTAGATCTGTTTCTAGAGCGGATATTATAATATCAACGCTGACCTGTACAGCATCTCCGAATGGGGAGGTAGAAACTTGGTTAAATTCAATAATAATAAAACTCAGTATTTACCAATTACACTTTCCAAATTAGATGATCTCCCACCACTCACATTTCAGGACGCAATCATTCTGCCAAGTTCTAAAATAGACATGCTAGGGTCTCACCATTTCCTCTAATATGTCATGGAAGCCACACATCCACAACATTGCTAAAGCTTCCTCCCCAAAGCTGGGGATGTTGTACAGATACCGTAGCTACTTCACTCCTGAGCAGTTGCGTCAAGTTTATAAAGAATTCATTCGTCCTAACTTGGAGTACTGCTCTCATATCTGGGGTGGCTCTTCTTTTATCCAACTGTTAGATAGGGTGAAATCAAAGGCATTTCGTCTTATTGATTCTCCTCCTTTAGCTGATAAATCTTTTTCCTTTCTCTTCCCCGCAATTTTGCTTCACTTTTACCTTATCGGGCAATGTTCGGTGGATTTGGCAACCTGTGTACCGCCGGCAAGGCCGTGGGCTCGTGTAACACTCGTCTTGCCCGCGATGCCCACAGTTTCTCTGTGGCTGTCGTTCTCACTAGAATAACCTTTATAGTACAGCCTTCTTTCCTCACACAGATAACTGTGGAATGCTCTGCCTTCTTCTGTGTTTCCATACTCATACAATCTGTCTCACTTTAAAAAGCTGGTTTTCCGGCATCTTCGCAATGCAGATTAAAATAATCTTTTTCCTTTTAATTTGTTTTTACTCTTATTTTTTCGCCCCCTAGGCCCCGTTGTGGGTCGATGACCTGTGCCTGGGTGGGCTATTCCCCGTAAAAAAATAAATAAAAAAGAAATATATATATATATATATATATATATATATATATATATATATATATATATATATATATATATATATATATATATATATATATATATATATACAAAAATACAACACATGACACATGCAGTATGCATCACAAGACACAACACATGACACATAGTCCCCACAATACACACTGCATAACACAGTCACCAAAATACATGATATGTATTCACCACAATAAACAATACATACGGGTAGAAGTTTTGTGCGTCTGGGATGGAGATGTCGTAGTCCAGACGGTGAAAGTCAGCGAGGTGGTAGAGCTGCATTGCCACGTCCAGAAGGTGAGCGGCGTAAGGTGGGTTGTGTTTCTGGGGAGGTAAAATGTCGGAAAGCAAATATAACTTGAAAACAAAACACGTTAACTGAAATAACTTCAATAATTACGAAAGTTTTATAGGGTCTTTTCAACTTAATGTTTCCTAGAAGTTACCTTCTTTAAGATTTCACCTAAGCGGACCTTAAGCTAGAATGCAGGTCCGTCCAATGCTGGAAAAACCCCAGCATCTTTTTTGAGTATGTCACTGTACATCTCCCCACTATCATAGGGGTTAGTCTTTTGAGAACCTTCTTTACTAACTGTGTTCCAGGACGCTATGAGGTAATGCTGCAGTGAGTTTTCTGCTTCTCTGTCGCAGGTCTTACATGCGAGTTCCTCTGCTGGTACGTGTATACCCATTTCCCATTTGCCTGGGTAGCCCTGGCGCAGTCTGTGAAAGATGCTTTCTTACATAATTAGTGACCAGATAATATTACCTGGCCATTCGCGAATCTGTTGTTAATCTTCTATGTTTTTTTTTTCCACTGGGCAGTTCGTGTTATTGTGAACTTTTTTATCTGCTCCTGACTGGGTGGGATGTCCATCTCAATGTTGCGCTGTCCTAGACCAGCCTTAGGAGCATCGTCAGCTGGTTCATTCCCCGAGATTCAGTCATGACAAGGCACCCAGATAATGGTAACGCCGATCTTGTCGTCTTAACCCTTGCATTAGACCAACAACGGATGTTATATGATGAATGTTGTCTCTAGGGTTTCTACTGGAGTGCTTTAATAGCACATCGAGAGTCAGGGTGCATTGCAACGTTTTGTTGACTGTTTATGGAAGCGTGTCGTAGGACTCCACGTCTGGCAGCTCGCTCTACTCGTAAAGTGGAGCATCCATCTGAAGTTCTCCAAAGGACTGTACTATATAATATTAATCACCTATTCTCTGTAACTTTTACTATACACAGGGAACTAAGGTGTAAATTATATCTTTTTGACTATTTAGAATAGCTGAGCTGAGTCTGTTATTGAGACTACATGAAGGTTTTCTTTATAAGGGAGTAATAAAGGCAGTGTTTGATTTTTCTATCAGAAAGTTAAAAAAAAATATAAGTGTGTGGTCCTATCGAGGTGAATTTTATAATTATTATGTTCGGAAATGAAATTATCAAACACGAAAGAAATCTGTCGAGTAGATTTAAAGGTTATAATTTTTATTTCACACAACTTTTATGGGGCAGTGGTAAATGCATATAGGTAGGCTTATAGCCATGTAATTTTGTGGGTAAAAAGAAGTGAGATGGCTAGTGTAGATCTCAAGAGGACTACCCATGGCTATGGTATCTATGTATCTGTTGAATACATAAGCAGTCATCGGCTGCCAAGTATAAATGGTCATGAAACAAAGATTGATTGAGGTTCTTTACTTTAGTAGATATCCTAAACAGACTGCACAAAATTACCAAAAGCCAAAGCACATGAATATTTCACGAAATTGGACTGGTTGGTGGTGAAGGTTGCTTTCAAAAGAACATATAATTAAATGGCTCAACTGCTAATAAAATGAAACTAGTGGGAGAGCTATCTTTAGAGCCTTTAGGGATTAAGAATCATAGCCAGGGACACGACCATACCCCTCATTTACTATCCTCTCAAGTCGAGGTGAAGACTCCAAGCTACGCATTATATTTTTGTATATTTTTTGTTTATTATTATTATTGTAATGGTAATAAATTCCGATGTTAAAAAATACGTTTGACTAAATTATGTAACACCACTGATTTGTTTTATTTTGTTTTTAATCTATCGTTGAATATCTATTACGGATTAGTGTTTCCTCGGTGGGAGCATCAGTACTTAAATGTGAACCGTAATGAACATCAGTACAGATGAAATGCTGAAAGAATCAGACATTTAAGGAGAGACAAAAGAATAACTTAATTACCCAGAAGACCATGGATGCTGCAGCCAGGGCAGCGGCTGTCTCCGCGGCCAACTCAGTTCCTGTAGGATGGAGAACCGAATGGCTCAGTTGTGTACAATGTCTAGTTACTCTAGTTGATGTTTTACATTTCTATCAGGACTTTTATTTCACATTTAAATCCTTTATTTGTCACATATGCGCGTGAGATTAAAATGCTTCATAAAACACTTCTCGGTGACAGTCAACACAGAATATCACCAACACAACTCTTCAGCTCTTCGACTTACTAACCTGGGTGAGCTTCATCAATTTTATATGAAGGTCTCTCCATGGTCATCTCTTCAGGTCGTCCCCAGTATGCATGATCAAGGTCGCTGAGGCCCACCTGTATATACGCCTCGTTTGTGAAATTGCCCAATAATGAACTGGGCAGTCATTTTGCCCAGTTCGTGAAATGGGTTCCTAACCTAACCTAATTTATCCTATGTTAGATTTGTTTAATTAGGTTAGATTTGGCTTGGTATGGTTTTATTTGGTTTTGTTAGTAACCCATTTCTTGAACTGGGCAAATTGATTCCCCAGTTCATGAACTGGGCAATATCATAAGCCTATACACATCTATATTTGTAACCGTTATTAAATGTTATTTTGTCAGTAGTCATTGTTGTTCATCGAACTTGCTCTTTCATTCTTCTCGGCTAAAGTTGTCCTGCGAATGTTTTTTATCAAAATATTTTTATTATACTGTATGACAAAAGACACCAAGTACTTGTTAAGCTCACATCATATTTGCTACTTTATGTCGTCGTCCTAACAAATTTAGTCATATTTTAATCTGCTGCAGTTGTATTACGTCTTCTTATCTTAAAATAATTTTGTGTAAATCATCGTTAATGAATACAGAATACATTTCACTGCAATGTCGTCAGTTCATCTGAGACATTAATTTAATGTAAACATTGAGTGTGTCCTAGTCTTTATTTTGATTTTATAATTCTTCCGATTAAAATTAAATGTTTATTTCAATTTGTTAAAAAATACCTGGATCTATGAATAATTAATATGAATATTATGTTAAATATTTCTCCTCCATAAATGAGAATTGCCACGATATTTTGTACACTGATGCGTCAGACAAATAATTTCATCTGAGCTTCCCTTAACTAACCAAGATGACACTTCCCAAACCCAAGTGGATTACAAAGAAACTGAAAGAGCCTGAATTACTGACAATGAGGAATAAAGTTTTATTTTGATCCACACTAGAACCTTCATTAAGTTGTATGCTGAAAGTTATTCCCATTCATTCATAGAATAAGGCTCCTATACATTACAAAAAGAAACAACTGACCTGGCCGTAGAATTCATATTCATCAGTGTGAGCCTTAAGGAAATAGTCGGTGGCCCACTTCAGTGCTGCCTCACCGTACTCTGTCTGACCTGTGGGCGACACATCAGGGTCACTAGTCTCTCACAACACTGTCTCTGGGAGACACACCAAGATCATGAGCCTCTTACAACACTGCTCCTGAGAGACACACCAAAATCCTGAGTCTCACAACACTGTCCCTGGGAGACATACCGGAATCACGAGTTTCTCACAACACTGTCCCTGGAGATTATAGTTCGACACTTGTCATGACCCAGAATAGTATGGAACCTCTCACCCGATTTATAAAGAAAACATAGAAGGTATTCACTACAAAACTGTGAGCATATTTAGTCTCTAGTCCTGAGATATAGTTGTTAGGGTATAAGTCTGCGTTCAAAGGACCTAAAAAAAGCATACAGTACGACTCACCAGCCGTCTCATGGCCGTCGGCGAAATCTATAATGCCCCACGCCAGCATGGTTGCGGTGAAGGCCATCGGGAATCCGAACTTCACATGGTCACCAGCTGTACCAGGAGAAAAAAAATATTAAACAACAATTGATGTGGTGTTTATCAGATTATATTTCTTGTTTTTGTATTAATATCTCTATCTCTCTCCGTTTCCTTACCGATATAGTAGCCGCCAGTCAGGTTCACGTTGTTGTCAGAGCCATCGTCAAGACCAGAGTTGCCGCGCCAGGTGATGCGCATATCGGAAGGCAGAGGACCTGACCGCTGGGCCTCGTAGAACAAGTACGACATGCATAGCACCTGAGGGTGAGAGGCGAGAAGTGAGAAACGTGGGGCGAAGCAGAAAGGGGAAATGAAAAAGTAGTGTTGGAGAAAGATTGAAAGATAAGTGGCAAATATATAGGCGAATGAATGATTTATTTATTTATTGTGGTAATCACATCCCTGGCGACGCAACAGCTTTGGTCATATGTCGACAAATTAAAAGAGAGATTTAGAAGACTAAAATCAAATAATGCAAGGAAAAAACATAATAAATAGCATAACATTTTCGTAAAAACTTATAAAGGTTAGCAGATAAAACTCAAAGCTTGTGTAGAAGGCCGGTGTAACAAGCCACATAATACCCCCGAGTCACTTAATACCCCGGTTATAAAGTGGCCTAGGCCAAAATATACTCCAAGGGTTAATCAAGCCTAGGCTGTTTTACACCTTCTCTGGCCAGATTAACCTCCTACGGAATTAGTTACTGAAAGTTTATTTCAAAGAAATTTACTACTATTAAAAACTGCAACTAAGTTAATTTTAAATATTGAAATCTGTCTGTAGTCATCAGTGTAAACACTTTAACTTGTCTGAATAGGTGCTGTTTTACAGATTAACCCTAGAACATTAATGTAGGGATTTTGTAACGATTTTACTATTGTGCGGTAGGTCATACCCCAATGGGAAAAATAAAAAAATAAAATAGTTACAATGACAATTTATACAAGTAAAATATTACCCCTTAATTTCAAGTAGTGCTCTTTATTACCAACCCATAGAATCTAAAGTAAGTGTATTATATAAGGGTGGCAGAAAAAAAAAACACTTGAAAACTGTGACCGAAAAAAGTTTGTACATAAATATTCTTACCGCAAAGACTACTGAGGCTAGGAACTTAACACTGTTGGTACACATTCCCCAGACATTCCCCAGGAGGTCGATTTGGCACTTTTTCAGTTTTGTCTTAAGATTAGCCTTGCACCTGCTCCGTTGTCAGCCAGCGTTACATTTACTATTCGTTAGATGACTGTAAAGTAGCTGTTTGAGCAGTCTACTGTCGAACATGTAGGTCACATGGCCAGTCCAATGTAGCTGGCCATGAATATTGGTAGCCTCGATGCTCCTACATTTGGTGTGAGCGAGAATACTGACATTTATTCTCTTGTCTTACCAGCGAACTCGGAGGATGGAATATAGACTACGTTGGTGAAAGTTTTCAAGTGCCTTTAGGTGCCTCCTATATGTGACCCAGGTCTCGGTGTCATATAGCAGAGTAGGAAAGACCACTGCACCTTTGTAGATAATTTCAGCTCCCTACAGCTGAAGACAGGGGTACGGAGTCTACCAAAGGCTTGAGATGCACATCTGATCCGTTGTTCAATCTCTTCATCGATGTCTGCGGTGGTGGACAGGTGGGTGCGGAGATACCGATAGTGGGAAACATTAGAGAGGGTAGTACCGTTGGGCTGGATGAGTGGTGGAGGTGTGTCTGAACCAGGGGAAGGCTGAAAGGGAATCCGAGTCTTACGTACATTCACCTCAAGGCCGAAGTGTGTATACACATCTGTGTAAGTGTTCAGGATCTCCTGCATGTAGCGTTCAATGTGAGCAACAAGGGTGAGGTCGTCTGCATACTGGAGTTCAGTAATGGAAGCTGCCGATACCTTTGTCCCTGCCTGGAGTCGTCTTATGTTGAAAAGACCCTTCATCTCGTACTCGATGTCCACCCCGCCGGCTAAATTGGCACTGGCACAAATAAGGAATGCAGCCAAGAAAATGGAAAAGAGAGTTGGTGCCAGTACACATCCTTGTTTTACTCGTTTGGATAGGGAAAAAAATCAGACTGGGTGCCATGGTGCAAGACACTGTCGTTCATGCCATCGTGGGGTTGCCTCACAATGGCGATGAATTTTGTTAGGCAGCCAAAACGACTGAGGGTCCGCCAGAGGGCTTCCCTGTTGACCAAGTCGAAAGACAGGTAACGACGCTGTTCTCTGCATTTTTCCTGTATGTAGCGGGCAGAAAAGATCATATCAGTGGTGCCATTTGATGGTCTAAAGCCACATTGAGATTCTGGGAGGAAGTTTTCCGCCTCAGGAAGAAGTCTGTTTACAAGGACTCCGGCGATAATCTTGCCAGCCAGGACAGCAGTGAGATCTCACAATAGCTGCCACAGTCTGACCAATCTCCTTTGTTCTTATAAATATTGAAGATGTAGACATCTTTAAGAGCTATGGGGTTTTCCTCCTTTTCCCATATATTCTCCAGGAGAGAGTGGAGACGGCTGGTAAAGAAGAGGTCCTCCTGCTTTATACACCTCGGCTAGGCTTTGTTATTTTTCATGTTTGATGTCTGTAGCTACCTCATCCAAGGATGGAGGATGGCTGAGGTAAGTCAGCTCTGGAAGCTAAGGGACCTGCTGGGTAGTCAACACATCCACATCGGTGTTTCGGTTGAGCAGCAAACCGTAGTGCTCTTTCCAGAAGTGAAGGATGCCTTCTTCGTCTTTAATTAGGGAGTTACCTTCGGATGAGCAGAGGTGGACTGCTCCATGAGTGACTAGCCCCTAAAATATTTTAATGGGATTGAAAAATACGCACATTTTGTGTTGATCTGCAAGTTTTTGGGGTTCAATACTTTGTTTTTAAACCAGTCTTTCTTTAGATTGTGAAATTTGCGCTGGGCATCCACTTTCTTTTCAGGAAGGCATTAGCTTTCATCCAAGACTGAGGGTTGTTGTCAGTCAGTTAAATCAGCACGTTTATCATCGACGAGTACATTGATTTCTAGGTCATTTTCATCAAACCAGTCCTGGTGTATTCATTCGATCTGGCCGAGGGATTCTCTGCAGGTTTTTGCTATGCCAATGTAGAGAATATCCCATTCGATATTGGGTTTGGGTTTTTTGTTGACGGGTTGTTTATCAGCCCATGTTCGAGCTCTCTGAAAGCATGTGCTATCGCTGAATCCTCCAGAAGCTTAGTGTAAAAACCTCTCCTAGAGGCTTGTTGCCTCCACCGTCTGGGGGCGACTTGAATTGAGAGCTTGGCTCTGACGAGCCGATGATCAGTGTTACACTGGTCTCAGACATGCATGGCTCGGGTGATGTGGACATCTCGGCAATCTCTTTCTTTAACAATGATATAGTCCATGAGATGCCAGTGTTTGGATCGTGGGTGTTTCCACGAACCCTTGAACTTGTCGGCCTGCTTAAACAAGGTGTTGATGATAGTGAGGTTGTGTGCAGCACACTTGCTGAGGAGGAGTAGGCTGTTGGGATTACTCTTGCCTCGTCCCTTTCTCCCTATGATTTCCTGCCAAATATCAGCATCTCTGCCAACTCTGGCATTGAAGTTACCTAAGAGCAAAACCTTATCTTGTTTAGGAAACGAGGCCAGCATAAAAGGCCTAATGATCTCATCCAGTGTTGGGGCGCATGCACTGATGGAGAAGGCATAATGCCAGTGATTCAGTGGGACTCTCAGCGTCAGGAGGCGGTCGTTGATCCCAACAGGCATTTCAGTTAGTCTTTGTAGGATGAATTAGCAGATGGGAAATCCAACTCCATAAATGCAGTATGTCTCCACAACATGCATACCCTTCCAGAAGAAGATATAGCCAGACCCCGGTTCTGTGAGTCAACCGTGGTCAAGGAGCCGGGACTCACTAATGTCTGCTATGTCGATGTTATACCTAGCAAGCTCTGTTGCCATGTGGGCGGTTCTTCTTTCAGGACGCTCATTTGTGCCAGAATAAAGAAGGGACTCGTCATTCCATGCAGCGACCATAAGAGGTTGTATAGTTTGTTTTTGTTTGAATCTGTGATTTTGATTGTTTTCAACCGGATAAGGATGACCTTACTGGGTGCTGTTGCCTAGTCAGGTTGGTTCTTTAGGCAGGCTATGTTTAGAGCACCTTTTTTAGCCCCCCTTCCCATGTGGGGTCAGCAGAGTAACTATTCGAAAAGGCTGCTCAGTCACACCGACAGGAACGGATTGCACTGCTGCCTAGATCCCAGTGATAAACGACCATCTTATCTGTGCCGCCCATGTGAAAAGTTGTGACTGGAGACTACCCCGTCGCCACTCGTCTGTCGCCACGACTTTTGGGGGTAAAGGGGTTTTGATGACGATAAGTATGATGAGCTGGATGATGGCTGCACACGAGTTGATTTATGAGATGAGACAGGAGCGTAGGCTGCAACCACACATCTTGGCTTTCCCTTTTCCTGATGCAGTGGAACAAGTGTTGTTGGGTTTCACCTTAGTAGCTTGTCCATCATGCTTTGCCTTCGTCCTTTGGTGTTGTCGTTCAGTTCCCATGTTGGTCACCTCTTCCACCTGTACCGCCGTTGTGGTTTTACTGGAGCTCTGTAAGCATAGCTTTATACCTACCAAGGTTAATTCACAACATTGCTAAAGCTGCCTCCCGAAAGCTGGGGATGCTGTACAGATGCCGTAGCTACTTCATTCCTGAGCAGTTGATTCAGGTTTATAAAGGGTTCATCGTCCTAGCTTGAAGTACTGCTCTCATATATGGGGTGGGTCTTCTTCTGTACAACTGTTAGATAGGGTGGAATCAAAGGAATTTCGTCTCCTTTATTCGATAATCTCTCTTCCTTTTCTCTTTGCCGCAATGTTGCTTCACTCTCTCTTTTACAGGCACTTTAACGGGCAATGTTCAGTGGATTTGGCAACCTGTGTACCGCCGGCAAGGCAGTGGTCTCAAAACATTCGTCTTGCCCGCGGTGCCCTCCGTTTCGGTGCGGATGGCGGTCACATTAGAATAATTCATTCAAGTACACCCTTCTTTCCTCACACAGCCAAACTGTGGAATGCTCTGCCTTCTTCTGTGTTTCCATACTCTTGCAAACTGTCTCACTTCAAAAAACAGGATTTCCTGCATCTTCCTGGTATAGATTAATATAGTTTTCTCTTTTATTTTTTTATTTTTGCGATTCATTTTATCGTCCCCCAGGCCCAGTTGTGAGTCGCAGACCTGTACCCAGGTGGGCTAATCCCCCGCAAAAGATCAGTAAATAAATAAAAATCATATAAGAAATCACTTAAACCGTGCGTCTTCCTCCTGGGCTGCCTATATGTAAAAAGAGGTGTTCTCTTTTTGTTTATTGGTAAGCTTATTTCTCCGTTAATATTAATTTGCACAAGAAATACCATAAAATAACGTAGATTCAGAATACAATTTTACATAAGAAAAGCCTATTATCTGCCTAACCTAACGGTTTCTTAAAACATTAAAAGTTACCTGTAAGATTTTGGAAGAGGTGAGCTGGTTAATGAGCAACATTACGAAACTTTTCAATACTATGGAGGAATCAATTTTTACCAAACCTGACCTAGCCAAAATAAAAACTAAAACCAAAAGAACTTAAGAAACCAAACCAAATGACTCCTATATCAGGATTATGACTTCCAACCTAACTTACATCCCGGCTACAGAGCCTTCAGCCTGCCCAGCCGGGAATTCGCGGCTACATATCCACTTCCAGTTAAATTAACTAGTGTAGACCATCCATCCTGGTGAATAACAAATGTTGGCTCATCATTTTGGAACTTTGGTAATTGTCTGCCTCAGAACATTTCCTGGTGCACGAGAGTAATGCTAATTCATTTCGAATCGTTCATGTCCAACGAAATTTACATTATTTTTCTCAAATAGAAGTCTTAGTATAGTACCAGTATATTGCACCTTAAAACACACATAAATTGCTCTTCAATCAGCAAACCATCATCTGAATGTTCCACCAGCAGAGTTATAAACGAAAACGTTTCGAGAAGTAATATAGTTTTAAGCAACAATGACGTTCCTAAAACTTAGATAAATTTCTCCCATTATTAGGCCTATAAAACTTATTTATTATTTATCGATTATATTCAGGCAGTTACGACATATAGATGCAAATAAATGTATAAACGATGAACGTTTGTTTTCATAGGGCTTGCTCTTAGGGCGCCCTCCCCTTACTCATGAACATTCTATTAAGTAACCCATAGGGAATCTCTATTAATATCCGTAGGCATTGACCACGCCTTTAGCTTTCACAACACTTCTTTAATACAAAACGTAGGCACCGTTCACTTTCTTGAATACGGCCCAGAGGAACGTTACAGAGTTACTGACCTGACTGTAGTCGTACGGCTTCATACCAGTTGCTTCACAGGGGTTGTTCTCGGGTGTCGCCGTTGAGTACACGGGCTCAGTTGTAGTGACCACGGGCACAGTTGTAGTGACCACGTCTTCAGTTGTAGTGACCAAAGTTTCAGTTGTGGTGACCACGGGCACAGTTGTAGTGACCACGGGCACAGTTGTAGTAACCACAGCCTCAGTTGTGGTGACCACGGGCACAGTTGTAGTGACCACAGCCTCAGTTGTGGTGACCACGGGCACAGTTGTAGTGACCACAGCCTCAGTTGTGGTGAACACGGGCACAGTTGTAGTGACCACGGGCACAGTTGTAGCACCACAGCCAGGTGACCACAGCCTCAGTTGTGGTGACCCGGCACAGCCAGTGACCACAGCTCAGTTGTGGTGACCTGGGCACAGCAGTGACCACGGGCACAGCTAGTGACCACAGCCCCAGTGGTGACCTCGGGCACAGTTGTAGTGACCACAGCCTCAGTTGTGGTGAACACGGGCACAGTTGTAGTGACCACAGCCTCAGTTGTGGTGACCACGGGCACAGTTGTAGTGACCACGGGCACAGTTGTAGTGACCACGGGCACAGTTGTAGTGACTATGGGCACAGTTGTAGTGACCACGGGCACAGTTGTAGTGACCACGGGCACAGTTGTAGTGACCACGGGCACAGCTGTAGTGACCACGGGCATAGTTGTAGTGACCACAGCCTCAGTTGTAGTGACCACAACCTCTGTTGTAGTGACCACGGGCTGATCTGTAGGTGCTGTTCCGTCTACAAGGAAAGAGGAGGAATGAGTACCGGATAACATGGAGAGCGTTAGCTGGTGGGTTGGCTCCGGTAGTAGTATGATTTATACACTATATAGTACACTATTGTATGATTTATACACTATATAGTACACTATTGTATGATTTATACATTAGATAGTACACTATTGCATGATTTATACATTAGATAGTGTACTATTATAGGATTTCTACATTAGATAGTACACTATTGTTTGGTTAATACATTAGATAGTACACTATGGTTTGACTTATACATTCGATAGTACATGATTGTATGTTTCATACATGAGATGATACAATATTGTATTTTTTCCCTATTCTCTGATTCTTTAATATATATTTTCATGTCAATTATTAGCAAATGTATGTTTTTTTTTCTGGTATCTTCATGACTGTAGATGAAAAAAACACAAGGGTAAGGGCTGACAACCAGTAGCGAAACCTACTACAGATGGGCACGCCGTTCATCGTTTCACTGTAGATAATGGGTTTCTCATGAGAGTAGTGGATGTTGAAACTAAAGGAGAGCTCTTCGCCCTCTTTCACATAGACATTGTTATTTTGAAGAGTAAAGTGGTAGTCGTCATTCTTGATCACACTTCCCTGGTAATACTGCCAATGACAAACACATACGCCATAATAATCAGGGATGTTCAAAGTTCACGACATACCAGAGTTTGTATTATATACATTATGTAATAATAATAATAATAATAATAATAATAATAATATTAATAATAATAATAACTGAATGTTTATTGAAAGATCATGACACCAAAAGGGTGAAAATGTACAGTAAACAGAGATAAAAGTTATACTGTATAAATATATATATATATATATATATATATATATATATATATATATATATATATATATATATATATATATATATATATATATATATATATATATATATATATGTATGTTACGACCTTGGCCTCTTAGGTTGGAACAATGCACAAATTTAACTTCTCTTTGTATTATAGGTCCAAGGAAAAGATCCCACCAAATTCATCGCCTCATTACTGTGTGGTATATTGAAATTCACGAAGAAGTTTTAGTTACAGAATTTATATTAACAAACAAGCGATAAAACAAATATATCATTTATGTACTAAAATAAACAAATACAAACTAAATCTGATCAAATAAGTGACTCAACCGAGTGACAAAATAATGAACATAAAAGTAAAGCCTAAACACTTATTCAAATTAGCAACTACCATCAACAACGTGGTTATCCACCACAAGTACCTCATAAATAAGTAAGTAATTTTCCGTGGAATTATAAAATATGACTAACAACAATTTCACATATAATACTTGGTGTTATAAAATTCGAGCAAGGTTCACAATAGGAAAGGAGATACAATAGGAAAGGAGATACTTAACTTTTGACTGCCAGCCCAATACTGCCATCACCCTGCTCTTGAGAGGTAAAACTAAGCGAGCAGAGGTGGGCGGAAATGACGTCAAAAACAAAAGACTCACGTTGAGAATCCGCAACCGACCATTGAACTCTCACTCGTAACAATATATATATATATATATATATATATATATATATATATATATATATATATATATATATATATATATATATATATATATATATATATATATATTTCATGAGTCCATATAGCACGCACACTTCAACATATGATCAACAACCTCACCCGCCAGGACTCGAACCCTACACCTTATGAGTGTGACCAGGGAATGCTACCACCGTGCCACTAGGACACTAAAAGCAATCCTAGACTTTGTTATATTTCACACAAAGCCTGTTCATCGTGCTTATGGCGCCGTGAACCTCCAATTGGGGATTTCCCAATGAAACATAAATGGAACCTCGTGTTTCGAAGCTGGATTCGGTAAAATGCTGCTCCAACCACATACTGTAAGTGGCACGGGCAATTCCCAATTGGAGGTTCACGGCGCCATAAGCACGATGAACAGGCTTTGTGTGAAATATAACAAAGTCTAGGATTGTTTTTAGTGTCCTAGTGGCACGGTGGTAGCATTCCCTGGTCACACTCATAAGGTGTAGGGTTTGAGTCCTGGCGGGTGAGAATGTTGATTATACAGTATACATATATATATATATATATATATATATATATATATATATATATATATATATATATATATATATATATATATATATATATATATATATATATATATATATATATATATATATATATATATATATATATATATATATATATATATATATATATATATATATATATATATATATATATATATATATGAAACATAGAAAACACGAAGTTCCTAAGTGCTTTCGTGTAATTCACATCTTCAGGGGTGAGTACAGACTAAGGAGTAATTATTGACAAGGCTAATATATGCAGAAAAGGAGAGTGAGATCAAGTCCCTAGAGACAGCAAGTGTCCATCATATTCAGGTCATAATCACAAAATTGTCCAATTTGTAAATGCCATTACTAAGCCCTTGGACTGCTTTGGTAAATCTTTCCGGACACTTTGGAACACAATGCTTTGTGTGCCAAGTAATCCAGCAGGACCCAGTATTAGCTCAGTTGGGTCAATCACTTTTAAGTTGTCTAAATGGCTAGTTTCTTTGCTAAATCCCCTAGTTGGCTACATATTAAAGTCTAATATTAAGAATAATATGGATTTAGTTGTTACACTCAATAATTGACACATTAATTATGATTTTAAACTGGTCAGTTTTGATTTAACATCACTCTTTACAAAGGTCCAAGTTGATGATTTGCTTGAGTTCCTCACAGATTCCCTGGATAATATTCCCTTGCCAGTCTTAAAAAATGTTTTCATTGAACTTATCAAACTGTGTATTAAGGATTGTAAATTTTAATTTAATGGTTTATATTGTACAGGTATCATGCTCAAAAATTTGGTTTGGCGATGGAATTTTTTGACAAGAAACTACTAAGCAATATTTTACCACATTCAGCAGTTTGGTTTGGATATGTAGATGATGTAATATGTCTTTGGCCATGTAATGAGGGCTTAAAAGCCTTTTTAACACTACTTAACAACTTAGCCCCCTCGATCAAATTCACTGTGGAATTAGAAAGTGACTGCAAATTACCAATCCTAGATTGTCTGATCCCCAGAGTAGATAACTGGGTCGCCTCTTACCTCACTGGACGTCAGGCCCGGGTTCGCGTTGAAGGCAATATATCTCCTGTTCAAGAAAGGTACCTCGGCACCCCCCCCAAGGTGGAGTCCTGAGTCCCACTTTGTTTAACACTCTCATGCACTCCATTGCATCTCTCCCGTGCCCGACAAAAGTTGTCTATTCAGGATATGCCGACGATGTCCTCCTCGAAGCTCCTGACTACCTCAGCATGAAGGAAACCTTGATCTGGTCTCCAGAGAGTGTGATTCACTTGGTTTCCGTCTTTCAACTGCGAAAACAAAAGCCACGTGGCACGGTCGTTTTGTACCTCCCCCCCTTCTCTTATCAGGAACGCCCTTGGACTGGGTTAATCTGACAAAATACCTAGGTGTGTATGTAACTCGCACACGTTGTCAGATACCTGAAGTCCGCTATCTTCGAGACATATGCTTTCGGCGTCTCGCTCCCCTCTCTACCATGTGCAGGGGTTCCCTTGGTGCCACCTTCCCTGTACTTCTCACCATGTACAAGTCCTTTGTCCGTTCCTGTGTCGACTACGCCGTCACTGCCCTCGTCAACACTAGTCGGACTGCTGTCAACCGTCTCGAAGTTATCCAGAGGAAACCTGCTCGTATCGTCCTTGGGGCCCCTCAGTGGACACGCTCTACTTCTCTATATACCGAACTTGGTATTTCCCCCATACATGATCGTGTCCAGGAGTTATACCTGAAAACTACCGTTTCCATTCCACGAGATCCTAGGGCGAATGTGTCCAAGCCAACTTGATTCCTGCTGTCCGAGGCCGACCTCCATCTAGAAGACAGTGGCGAGGGTCACTTATCCGGGCCCTTCAGGAACACGACCCCCTGCCTAATACTGTTGTCACCCCTGATGTTGGTTCGTCTCCTTCTTCCTGGCTGGATTTTCAACCTGAAGTGATTGCCCTCGGTGGACCGCTCCCGAAATCCCACGTGAACCCTGTTATTCTCTGCAAATACCACCTCTCCAGGATCGCCTACTGGTCCCCAGGTAGGGTTGTCCTCTACACTGATGGCTCCCCTGACCCCGCTACAGGTAGGGCCGGGGCTGGTGTCTACATCTCCCGTCCTGATGCCCCTGAGCCTATCAAACTCTCTCTCAGAGTTTCTATCGGGGCATCCTCCACTCAGGCTGAACTGATAGCCCTACTTGCTGCCCTTCTCGTTGAGGAAGAAGCCGATGGTTTCTGCCCCTTGCTTGTCTGCTGCGATTCCAGGTCTGCTCTGGACGGGATCGCATGTCGATCAGGGGAAAATAAGGACCTCATCCTCCGAATACGAGGGTTAACATCAATACTTCAGGAGCAGGCCGTCCTGTGACATTCCTATGGATACCCAGTCATGTCGGTATCTTGGGGAACGAGGCAGCAGATGGCCTTGTCAAGACTGGCTGTAACAAGGCCGCAGCTGACTGCGTTGTTCCTCGAACACGCTTACAGCTTAGGACCCAAATTCGCCTGAAACAGAGAGAAGCTCGGGAAGCAGCCATCCCCCTGGAATCCCCGCCCACCTGGTATGATGTCCTCCGTAAACTCCCTGACCTCTCGTATGTCGCGGAAAAGGGACGTGATTGCTGCCCGTATCATCATTAGTTATGACTTTGCTTAGGAAATTGGTATCCCCGCCTCCCCTTGTGCATTATGCAGAAGACCCGACAGCCACACCCTTGTCCTCTACCTCCAAAGATGTCCCACACACAACGCTTCCGTGGCGCCTGCTGGACCACCACTCCACGACCCCGTGATGTAGACATGATGATCCTCCCCATACTGGCCAGATATTATGTAAATAATGTTGATGCTGCGTTGAAGGAATATCCTTCCTTCCTTAGGCTTTAGTAAGCTCCTTTATAATATTTATATATACTTGTGACACTTGCCAGATGCTTCTGGTGTTATTGTGCAGGGGTACCTAGCGAAAGCACTAGGATCCCGCTTTCTTTATCAAGGAATAAAATATTGAAATTGAATTGAATTGAGTAGGTAACACCTTTAAGTTCAGTATTTATTGGAAATCTACTAATGTGTGTTCATATATTCATTATTATTCTGCCCACCATAATAGAGTCAAACAGTCAGCATTCTCATCAATGTTCTTACGTGCTCTACTAATATGCAGTCTGGAATTCATTGATGAGGAATATAAATATATCTATAATATTGGTTTGAACTTAAAATACCCAGGTTCTTTTACAGACAAATGCCTTAACATCGCTAAGATACCTTTCTATAGAACTGATCCTAAGCCTACCCATAACAATTAGATTATTTTAGTATTGACTTTTAACAAAAATTTCTCTCAAATTCCTCTACAACTGAAAACCTGGAACGTACATGTGACATTCAGTAACTCATGCGCTGTTAATCAAACGTTAATGAAGAACTCCCCCAGCAATGCAGGAGGCTGCATTTACAAGGTTCCTTGCAAGGAATGCAAAATGTTCTACCTTGGTCAGACGGGAAAAGATCTTATAACTAGACTTAAACAGCATAAATATATTGTTAGGGCAGGCCAGGAATCCAATGTTTTGTTCATTCATGCAAGAGACAATAAGCATTGCATTGACTGGGATAATACCTCTTCAATATTACTTTGTAATTTAATTGTCAGTAGGAACATTAAAGGATCTACTCTCATTAAACATACCGAATCCGTCAACATTAATTTGAGTAACGGCATGTACAAACTGGACAATTTTGCGATTAATAAGATTTGTAACCAGGTGAGAAGGTCGGGACATCTTACCCTGTGACCTGACTACGGACAGCTGCCGTGCTTAGAGATGGCATCGTCAATTTTTTTATTAAGAAGATTAGTAAGGGTCACTGCCTTATGACCGGAACGTTGTGCACCCCTGCTGTATATATTAACCTTGTCAATAATTACTCCTTAGTCTGTACTCACCCCTTCGTGTTTTCTTATTTCATATGTGGTTATCAGTTATATATATATATATATATATATATATATATATATATATATATATATATATATATATATATATATATATATATATATATATATATATATATATATATATATGTGTGTGTGTGTGTGTGTGTGTGTGTGTGTGTCGGGGGATTAACCCACCTGGACACAGGTCATCGACTCATAACGGGGCCTGGGGTGCAAAAAATTAAGAGTCAAAAATAATAAAAATTAGAGGGGAAACTGGTATGTTAATCTACATCAAGATGATGCCGGAAATTGGCTGTATGAGGAAAGAAGGATGTTCTTTAACGGGTTGCTTGTGTGACCGACTTTGACACAGAAGCGGTGGGCACCGCGGACAAGGCGAGTGTTACGAACCCACTGCCAAAAACACTGAAAGAGCCCGTTAAAGTTCCTGTAAAAGAGAGAGAGTGAAGCAACATTGCAGCGAAGAGAAAGGGAAGAAAGATCGTTAACTAATGTAGCCTTTGATTTCACCCTATCTAACAGTTGGGCAGAAGAAGAGCTGCCCTGGATATGGGAGCAGTACTCCAAGTGAGGATGAATGAATCCCTTATAAACCTTAAGCAACTGCTCAGGAGTGAAGTAACTACGGCATCTGTATATAGGTAGTGGTCATTTAATTGACAAATAAGATATCAGTGATATAAATGGTGCATATATAATATATATTTATGCTTTAAATACTTCTGGGATCTTCACATCTCCCTCTGTCCAACAATCATGTCCACTGTGTATCACATCAGGTGTAAAAATTATGACCCAAAACCACAGTGTTTGTTAGAGATTACTTTTTATATCAGAACCTGAAATTCCTTCATCTTATATAAATAGAGACATAGATAGATAAAGGAAACATAATAAGACACTCAGTAGTTTAAACAGACTCTGACAATTTGATTTAAATTTTATCACGAGAAAAAACATGGTGCACTTACATCGATTGAATCTACGGGAGCACTGAAAGTCCATTGTATAGTGAGGCCGGTGTTGCCATCCAAATCCACAGGAGAAATTTGCTTAAAGTCCGCCTGATATCCAGTATCCCACTCGTTGTCAATTACTATGTTTTCACACTGAGTCACCGCTGCCCCTGCAACCCAACAAACACACACTCTGAACCAGATTTCTCCTGTCCTTACATAATGGAGAATTTCTATGGTGTTAAGGCAACTTCTTCATTAACTAGGAAAGTTCTCACAAGCGATGATGGAATTTACAAATCTTCATTGAAAAATTTTCTTGACCATTGGAATGTGTGAGAATACCTGGCTGGAGGAAGGTGAGAGTGAGGGCCCCTAGCAAGCAGGTCTTCACCAGGACACCAGCCATGTTTGCTGGGGAAGAAACAACTGCGGGAGGAAGGTCGTCGTCATCTTATATACACGCTTGGTGGTCACCTCACCTCCAACTCACACACACACACACACTCACACACACACACACACACACACACACACACACACACACACACACACACACACACACACACACACACTACTACTACTACTTTGCTGTCACTCGGAATCGAATATGATGATCATCCAGCTATGATACAATGCTATGAGGTATTAGGTACGTCACCTAGGTTAGTGAGTTTTGAGGTGACTAAAGAGACCGATAAGGGACCCGAAGCGTCGTTCACATTCGTTGCACATGTGGAGGGCTTCATTTACTACGGGAAGGGCAGTGGCAGGGTTGTTCCGGCGTTGGTGCTTGTCTGCCTCGATTTGCAGTCGGGCTAACTCGAAAGTATTGACACCTCGTGTGGTGCTCCTTCAAGCGTTACGATGTGGAGTAATTAACTCCAAGGTGAGAGGGGCGATTTGGCACTTTTTCAGGTTTGTCTTAAGACTATCCTTACACCTTTTCAATTGCCCGCAGGAGTTACGTTTACTGTTCGTTAGGTGATTGTAAAGTAGCTGTTTTGGCAGTCTACTGGCCAGTCAAACGTAGTTGTTCATGGATAATGGTAGCCTCGATGCTCTTAGAGTTGGTGTCAGCAAAAATACTGGCATTTGTTTTCTTGTCTTCCCAGCGAACTCGGAGGATGGAACGCAAACTACGTAAATGAATGTTTTCAAGTACCTTGAGGTGCCTCTTGTATGTGACCCATGTCTCACTGTCATATAGCAGGGTGGGGAGGACCACTGCTCGATATACGTGTAGCTTTGTAGATAATTTCAGCTCACTACAGCTGAAGACACTATTCGGAGTCTGCCAAAGGCTTGAGATGCACATCTGATCCGATGCTGAATCTCTTCTGTGGTGGTGGATAGGTGAGAGCCGTGATACCGAAAGTGGGCAACATTAGAGAAGGTAGTACCGTTAAGCAGGATGGATGGTGGAGGTGTGTCTGAATGAGGGGCAGGTTGAAAGAGAATCTGAGTCTTACGTATATTCACCTCAAGGCCGAAATGTGCATACGCATCTGCGTAGTTGTTCAGGATCGCCTGTAGGTCGAGTTCAGTGTGAGGAACAAGGTCTCTTCTTGCCTGGAGTCGTTTTATGTTGAAAAGAACTCCTTTCACCAGGTACTTGATGTTTACCCCGCTGGCTAAATTGGCACTAGCACGAGTTAGGAAGGCAGCCAAGAAGATGGAAAAGAGAGTTGGTGCCAGTATACACTCTTGTTTAACCCTTGTTCGGATAGGGAAGAATTCTGATTAGGTACCGTTGTAGAGTTGCCTCACAATGGCGATGAATTTTGTTGGGTAGCCAAAACGGCTGAGGGTCCACCAGAGGTCTTCCCTGCTGACCGAGTCGAAGGCCTTGGTTAGGTCGATGAAAGCCATATCCAGGTCACTACGCTGTTCTCTGCATTTTTCCTGTATCTGGCGGGCAACAAAGATCATGCCAGTGGTGCCACATGATGGTCTAAAACCACATTAAGATTCAAGGAGGAGGTTTTTCGCCTGAGGAAGAAGTCTGTTTAGGAGGACTAGGGCGCTAATCTTGCCAGCTACAAAAAGCAGTAAGATACCACGGTAGTTGCCACAGTCTGACCGGTCTCCCTTGTTCTTATAAATATTGTCAATGGAGCCGTATTTAAGAGCTTGAGGGATTTCCTCCTTTTCCTATATATTTTCCAGGAGAGAGTGGAGACGGCTGGTAAGCAGAGGTCCTCCTGCTTTATACACCTTGGCTGGGATTCCATCAGGCCCTGCAGCTTTTTATTCTTCATTTGTTTGATGGCAGTAGCTACCTCATCCAGGGGTGGAGGATAGCTGCGGTGGGTCAGGTCTGAATGCTGAGGGACCTGCTGGGTAGTCCACATCGATGTTTCGGTTGAGCAATGAATGGCAGTGCTCTTTTCAGCGCTGAAGAAGGCCTTCATCGTCTTTAATTATGAGTTTACCGTTAGATGAGGGGAGGGATGCTGCACAACGAGTGAGTGGCCCATAAAATGTTTTAGTGGAAATGAAAAATTCGCACATCTTGTTCTGATCTGCAAGTTTTTGTGTTTCACATGCTTTATTTTTAAGCCAGTCGTTCTTTAGATCGCGAGGTTCCCGCTGGGCTGCCGCTTTCTTCTTGCGGAAGGTATAAGCTTTGGTTCGAAACTGAGGGTTATTCTACCAGTCAGTAAAAGCGGCACGTTTATCATCAATGAGTTATTTAATTGTCGGGTCATTTTCATCAATGCAATCCTGATGTATTCTTTTGATCTGGCCGAAGGTCTCTCCGCTGTTGGATTGTTTAGAAGCTCATGTTCGAGCTGCTCTCTGAAAGCATGTGCTACCACTGGATCCTCCAGACGCTTAGTAGTAAAACCCCTTCTGGAGGCTTGCTGTCATCGCCGTTTTTGGGCGACGTGAAGAGAGATGAAGAGAGAGCTTGGATCTGAGAAGTTGATGATCAGTGTCACAATGGTCTAAGCCACGCATGGCACGGGTGATGAGGACATCTCGGCGATCTCCTTCTCTGACAATGATGTAGTCAATGAGATGCCATTGTTTGGATCGTGGGAGTTGCCATGAACCCTTGAACTTGTAGGCCTGCCTAAACAAGGTATTGGTGATAGTGAGGTTGTGTGCAGCACACTTGCTGAGGAGGAGTAGGCCGTTCGGATTACACTTGACAAGTCCATTTCTCCCTATGGTTCCCTGCCAAATATTAGCATCTCTGGCAACTCTGGCATTGAAGTCGCCAAGGAGCACAATCTTGTCTCTTCTGGGGATAGAAGTTAGCACCCTGTCGAGGTCGGCGTAAAAGAACTCCTTTATGTCATCCTCTGCATCCAGTGTTCGGGGGTATGCACTGATACAGAAGGCATGACGTGAGCGATTCAGTGGGACTCGAAGAGTCTTGAGGCATTCGTCGATCCCAATAGGCATTTCAGTTAGCCTGTGCAGGATTCGTTGGCGGATGTCAAAGACAACTCCATAAATGCTGTTTCTTTCCGCGGCAGGCTTAACCTTCCAGAAGAAGGTGTAACCAGACCACCGTTCTGTGAGTTGGCCCTCACCTAGGATGCCTGCTATGTCGATATTATACCTAGCCAGCTCTTTTGTCACAAGGGCAGTTCTTCTTTCAGGATGCTCATTTGTGCTAGTATCCAGAAGGGTCCTGACATTCCATGCAGCGACCAAAAGAGGTTAAATGGTTTGTTTTTGTTTGGATCTGTGATTTTGGTTGTGTTTTAGACCGCATAAGGATGACCTTACTGGGTGCGGTTGTCCAGTCAGGTTGGGTTTTTAGGCAGCCTATGTTTAGGGCACCTTTTCTAGCCCCCTCCCCAAGTAGGGTGAACAGAGTGGCTCCATAAAAGGGCTGCTCAGTCGCACAGACTGGACCGGATTGCACTGCTGCCTAGATCCCAGTGCAGAAACGACCATCTTATCTGAGCTGCCCATGTGCAGAGTTGTGACTAGAGACTACCTACAGTCATCTCTACCTGTCCCTGTCGCCACTCGTCTGTCCCCATAGGACTTTTGGAGGTATATGGGTTTTGATGATGATGAGAGGCATGATGAACTGGATGAAGGCTGCACGTGAGTTGATTTATGTGGTGAGGCAGGAGCACAGGCTGTAACCACACATTTTGGCTTTCCCTTTTCCTGATCCTGTGGGGCAAGTGTTGTAACGATTGGGGAGAGGGAGACTCGCAATGGACTGCCGATAGCCCTGTTTGTTGGGTTTCGCCTTAGTAGCCTGTCCATCAGGCATTGCCTTCGTCCACTTGTATAGTCGCTGGGTTTCCATGGTGGTCACCTCATCCGCCTACATTGCCATTGGGGTCTTGTTGGAGCTCTGTAAGCATGTCTGCCTGATGTGGGGCACCACCGCAGATTTTTCGTTCGAGCTTTACTCCCATAGCCTTATACCTACCAAGGCAGGTGGGCGGTGGTTGGTAGGCGCCAGGACGTGTCCACAAGCCAGTGAGCCTATGCGTCGTCTCTCTGGGGACCACTGCTACTCCAAGATCCCCCGCTGATTTCGCCTGGGCCCATGAGGCACCCAGTTACCGTGTGTTGTCACGAGGAGGCACAACAGGAGTCTTGATGGTGAGGAGGCTGTGTACTGGCAAGGTAAGACTTATTCAAGTTGCTTCCCTGTTCGCCACGAAGGCTAGCCAGCGGAAGGCAGCTGAAAGCGAGAGGGAGCAAGCAATGCTTGCACCTAAACACTAACATAATGCTGCCACTCTAGACGCATTTCACCACCCTGTGACTACTTCACACACACACACACACACACACACACATGCAGCCTTGTAGTTTTATTGTTGCACTGTGAACACAAGCCTTAATGTGAGATGTATGAAAATATCTTTGGGAAAGTCCATGTGTCTACTTTCCCAACGCCTTCACCTCTGGGAGATTTTGTGATTCCCTGTGATAAGAAGCTACTTCCCCCCCCTCCCCTCATCAGGTTGCCGAACGCACGCACTCATATACACACTGATTGTATACCCGGTACACCACCCTTCCCCTCCTCCATTTCGTTTCAGGTGCTGCGAGAAGTTCAAAGAGGTACACATTGATTATTCTGTAGGTTTGTCATAATGGTCAGTTGTTTCTCCGAGTGATATCTCAGGCAATTTAGAGACAGAAAAATAAAATTTGGTCGTAGTGACCAGTAGTTTTTTTCTTTTTTACTGATTATACATCAGCACCACCACCTACATTTCCGTTCCAGGTGCCCCGCGAAGTGCGGGTCAGTGTACATCGAACTTACCTCTATTTCTTTCATTAATAATTAAGAACTTTACTTGTGGATAACCATCATAAACAGACTAGTCCAGCTATTGCTCATCTACCTCAGTGATATCATCAACCCGCATAGACAAGACATCTCGGAACTTTCGTTACTGACAACTGTTGGCGAATTATCTCCCCGAATTGATTACCTCAACACACAGATGAACTTAAAAT